CATAAAAGGAAGTTATATCTTCTGTTTTGGGTGAATGATTTAAGATTATGAAGTAGAAATAAACTTATTGCAACAAGTCCGTAAGATTAGGAAAAACGAAGGTCAGCTTTATGGTTATATAGGAGGGAGTCAAGGCGATTAATCAAAATTGATACGTTGCTATAGCAACTACTCTGTGTGCGCATGCGCATATATTTTATGCGCGTCGAAGCTTTCACAATAAAGCTGATATGAGGTAACCACAAAAAATGGATGTTTTTTTCCGAAATGAAAGCAAAACATCGCTACCCCTGTTTTAAAACAAAATTGCCAAAAATTTGAGAATTATTAAATTCAAATGAAATTTTTAGTGCTTATTCATGAATGAATGAATTGGATACTGAATTTATTTTATTAGAAAACTTTGTGAAAATATTTCGATATCTCGTGTTGTGTGTTCTGTGTTCACGAATGATGATTTTATTTCAGTAAAAAAAATTGCGCAATATCAAGTATGAAAATACTGAAAATACGTCCCGAATCTAATATAAAATAATTCAATAAAACTCAAAAAATACTTTTTAAGTATTAGTGCTTCCATAATTTAATGCGTTATTTTCTTTCGGAGTGGGCAGAAAAAATCTACATTTAATTTTAAATTTACTTTTAAAAAATTGTTATTTTTCAGTGCGATTTTGAAATTCATCCCGTTGGTTTTCGTAATAAGAATTTTTATTATTAGGTATCACAGATGAAAATTTCAAACAGGTACTAGGTATTATTATCTGATTGCATCTTCTTAATCTACATGATTAAAGAAACTTAGCAGTTTTTATTTCATCAAAATATCTCAAACCGTTTAATTTTGGCAGATTTATTTTTATTTTTACACATATGCTCGACTTTTTGTCTATTATAAATTAGGACAAAATCCCATATTTGGACTCCTATATTTTAAAAAGCAATTAAGAACAACAGTTAAAATTATACTAGCTTGTTAGGTACATAACAAAGAAATTAATAATAAAATTACAGATAGTATCACTGCATATTTTTTGAATAAATTCAGTTTGAATATGCAAATTTTATAAATCAAAACTTCTGCAACGACGTCCAAACAACTCATTACCTGAGGTTTGACATTTCATAAAACAGGAAATAAGACTCACATTCATCCCAAATTTCAAATATCACATTATGACTATACCAGTAACATGCCTATTTTTTTTTGGGGGGGGGGAGTGATAGAATGGATATATTCTGGATTATTCCACTTCAAAATTGAAGAAAATTGCTTTTTAACCCTTTGTCACAAGGTATTTGAAAGGCCGATTTTAGATTTGGATGAATTGTGTCATAAAATGAATACTTCTTACACTAGAAACACCAAATTTCATATCTAGCCATTTCTAGGGGTGCTCTTTCCATTTATCGTGGTCAAAATGACCTAAAATCAACAGATTAGAATGTATATGGAGCAGATGCTGAACAAGTACAGTCCTGACTCAACATGTACAATTTCTGGACTGTAGAGAGAAGCTTAACACACGCCAAGCAATACCCACTAATGAACATAAGAAAACAACAGAAAACTCACCATATCATGAAGTGGTATTCAACCACTAAATTTGTAACTAAAATCATTAAAATAAAAATATTTTATCTGTGACAATTTGATCAAAAGGTTGAAGTTCTAACACATGTTAGTTCCGATCACTACGTAAGCGGTATGAAATCACCAAATTATCTCAATTTTTAAACTGTAGTGTTCCTCTCACATTATGCACATAAAAAATAAACAACACAAACATAAAATTAATCAAATAAAATTTATTTGGAAATTTTCAGTAATGGTGGTCTGGGTGTTGGGATACCTCTTCACTGAGTAGTAAAAAGTAAGTCTTGGTATACTCTTCATACAATCCCTCCAAATAATCTAATTCAGGCACTACCCAAGTTCTTCTAGTCTGACTAGTATAACTTTGCTGGCGTATCCAGTTTATGTAGTTCAAGTATGAACCCATTTGTTACTTTCGCATATAAAAGCTTACGACCCAGCATTGGATCCGACAAAACACTGAGAGTCAATCCAGCACTTTCACATCTTTCACCTATGAATCCCAAATTTGTTACCTCATGGTACAATGCAGGACGATCCACTTTTGGACAACTCTTAACTTCTGCGACAACTTTCTCAATAAGGTGTACCCATTTGTTCTTAGGAAAGATTGGGGACAATTTATGTAGCCAAGTAATAGCAGAATCTCAGGTTTCCTGATACTTCTCTTTCAATGAATATATTTGAAGCAGCACCTTCTTGGAACATTCCACTTTAGGCAAATACATCTTCCTTCCACGTCCTTTTGTCATAAAACAACGTTGTAACTGATTCTGTACATTGTCATCTTCAAAAAGAAAAAAATGAATTTATAATCCTATCCCATTTTGTCAAAATACTACTTAGTAGTCATCTACAAATTATTGTCTATGTTTTCTTACTGAATTTGAGTTTATTTTCAGTTCATAAGAAAATTGCACTAAATACAATCAGGGATAAATATAAATTTAGAGTCATCCATACACCTGAGTAACAAATAAGGAAACACTAAAATATTTTCTCAACAAACTTATTTCCACAGTGGTCCTTAAAACTGACACATTAAAATATTTTAGAATAAAATAAACAATCACAATCCGTAAATAATAATAAATTTGGAAAATGAATATTAAATCATAAATTTGTATCTAGATAGCAATAAATCGTAACTAAAATCCATTCATTAGATAATTTAAAAAGTAAGAAAATTGTTTGAAGGAGTAACTTTAAACAAAATGTTGCTTGGTAACTGAAATGCTGATAATTATTGTAAGAATGCTGCAAAAACATAAAAGACATTCTAGAATTTTTTTGTAGAATGTTTTTTATCTCATTCTTTGAATATGAACATTTTTCCATCAAGAAGTCCGACGTTTTTTTTTCTTCGTGATTTGAATCTGAGCGTAAACTTTACGCCGTAAAGTAAACAAATCGATTTTTCTTTCATATTTTTTATGACAAAAACGATTTTTAAATCCCATTTACATTATTTTTACATATCACAGAAAATTAATATTTAAAACAAATTCTTACTAATTTCCTTGAAAATTTCGTCCATTGCTGGTCGATTCTTGGATGTCCGTGTTGACGTTTTGTATTGACTGTCGCGTGGAGTTGAAATGATGGCCGAGCGAGACGCACATGGTTGTTACCACACATAATCGCACACGCGCAAAATGGAGCTATCGTTTCATATTTGATTTTGATTTAGTTTCATAGATTATTAAATGAGCGTATTAATGATATATTGTATGTGTTTTTATTTTTACAAGATGCATTTGAATTTTACGATCAAACTTTTCATTTGAATTGTTTACAAACTTCTTATTAGAATTAAAAAAATATAAAATATAATAAAAATGAAGCTTAGAATGCTAAGTTTCAAAATAACGTGTTACCAAATTTGTAATAAACCCTGCAGATTGCGCATGTTACAAAATTTGAGGAAGTCTAAACTGCCGTTAGTGAAAAAAATGGCCAAAATTTTGCGAAATCACCAAAATGTCTCTATATCAAACTGTAATGTTCCTCGCACACTGTAGTACATATACAAATAAATAAGATAGAAACAAAGTTCATGAAATATGCTTTTATTTGGTATGCATTATGTTTTTATGGAGATATTGAATGAAATAATACGGCGAGTTGAATATATGCCTTTTTTAGTGTTTAGTTAAGAATTTCATCGGCTGTATGCTGATGCTGGGATACCTTAAATAAAGAATTGTTTGAAGAAACAAAAAATGTAAAGCGTAATGCTATTTTCGTGTGTGAATCATTTTCAAAAGATTTTTTTAATTTTATCAACGGTTAGATTATTTTTGTATAGATGTTCAAAAAGGAAATAATTCTGAATTATCACCTTTGATTGAATATTCATGATATATGATAATTCAATCACTTTTAAATTTACAATAGTTAAAAAAGACAATATTGGGTACAATTAAATATTTTTATATCAGACAAGTAAGAAAATAAAAAAAATAAAAGCAATGAAACTCAAAAGTTATGTGATATTAAACTCAAAAGTATGTAAAAGAACACTGTCTTAAATGAGTATATGATATAGAAGGCAATACTTATAACTTGAGTTTCAACTTGATTCTTTAGCATAAAGACACTTGTTGTAACGTGTACCGGACAAAAATCTCTTGTCTATGAATTTACAATAATTTTTTTGCATTTATTTTGACATCCTTATCATCTTTAAAGTAACCTATGTTTACTGCATACAATACATTCAAAATATTATTTACCTTTCCCTAGGTCTTCTAAGTCATATTCTAGACCATCCGATGTAGCTCTAAATTCATCATTATAATTACCAATGACGGACTTACATTTTCGGTGCCCTGAGGTTTGAACAGATATGGGAGCCACTTTGCAATCACACACACACACACACACACATATATATGTGTATATACATACATACACATATATATATATATATATATATATATATATATATAAACACAAAAAAAATATTCTTTATTCATCCTTTATACATTTGCATTTTTAGTTATATCTGAAATTTTATGTATGTGTGTGTGTGTGTATGTGTGTGTGTGTGGTACGTACACGCGAAACATGGAAAAGACAGAGTTCACATAAGAACACAATACATTTGAATTTTATTAGTAGTATACACACTCAGAAAACGATAGCAAATAAGCATGTGTAACCTGCCTTGACACATGACCAGTTGATTGTAATAATGCAATGCAACTGCTACTCACTTAACTTACGGATTTTCTCTCTCTCTCTTTGAATTTATCTTTCACACACGGTCACATATCTATATCTATATCTATGTGTGTGTGTGTGGTGTGTTTGTGTATAAAAGCAATCTTTTATTGTCAAGATAAACTTAACGCGAGTTTGCCAATCTACCATTCAGTCAAGGTGATGTTTCACTGAAAACATGTTTCAATGTGAGTACATGAAATGCATTTTATCATTCTACAAATATGTTGATGTGATATTATTTTCGTTTTTTTTTATGCTATTATTTTGTTGACTATTCCAGTTATTTTAACAACCAGGATAGTGAGCCTTTAAATTACGAAACAGAAAAAAATTAATGAATGTTTAACGTTTAAAAATATCTCTTTGTAGTGTCTTGATAACTTTTCAGAAAACGCTAAGTATTAATTCAAAATTTTAATGAAATCATCATGAATTAATGAGTGGCTATTGAGTTTAATACCTTTTGTTAAAAAAAGATGGCTTTCCTTAATCTTATATTCTAGACCAGATTCAATATTTATATTTATTGTCAGATTTTATTATGCTAGTCAATGTTTTCAAAATAAAATTGATATTTCGCATGACTCAGACTGTATTGATAAAGCGATTGGGTTTTTATTAAAGAAAAAACATCTTCATAGTATTTAAACATTTACTTTACAAGAAGTCTGTTAACTTGATCTGGAATAATAAGCGATATTTTCTCAGTGAAATACGTGATAAACAGGTAGATAATTAAATAAATTCCTAAGCAGCTTTTCTTTCAACCAGTGAGTTGACTAACAACATTGGTAATAATAATTGTGAAATGCCGGAAGAAAATATAAAATTAATCTTTCTTATGTATTGGTAACACTTCACTCTTCAACGAGCGCAAATTTAATGTAATTTGCAACACACACAAAAAAAAAAACTATAAATAAAGTATCACTGGCCTTTTTTTAAAAGGAAACTCTTACATAAATTGAAAATATGGCTGGTCGTAAGTTTACAGAAATAAGAGCGTTAGGCGTTTGTGAGAGATTCGTAAAGCAAAGGAAAATATACAGAATTGATAGATAAAGAATAAATAGCAAAAACAACAAAAAACTAATAGATCAGAGATTGTGATTAAAAAGACTACAAACAAAAAAAATCCATTCTTATGTCCTTAAATAAAAATATATCTGCTAAAAGAAAAATATGACAAGCATGAAATTGAAATTGAAAAAGATGTGGCACATTTAAAACTACACTTAAAGTTAAACTTGGAGCCCTGGGTACGTTCAAAAAAGGTACAGTCGAGAACATTAAAAAAACCCTGGTAGCACCAGTTTGCAGGAGATTAAACAAATTGCACATTATGGATTTCCCCATCTAGGGAGGCTATTATCAACGTAAAGAAAATATAAAGAATGCACATGTTAAGTATTACTTAACAGCAGAATTTGTGCAGATAGAATGTATTTACTTACACCAGATATCTGGTAATGAATTTGTAAAGAATTGTATTAAAAAGAAATAATAATAATAATAATAATAACAATAATAATTATAATAATAATAATAAAATAATAATAATAATAATAATTATTATTATTATTATTATTATTATAAAATAATAATTTCTTTTAATTCTATTTTTTTATCCTTTTTTTTTTCTTAATTTTCCTCAGAAAAGCGGAACTTTCCGCAAATGAATTGCGCTTTTATCTAAGCATCGTGTATATTCAATTGATGTATATATATATATATATATATATATATATATATATATATATATATATATATATATATATATATATATGCGTGTATACGAATGGGAAAAGATCGTATTGGCTGATTACCTATTTTTCCTTTTTTTTTTCTCGTGATAACCAGAAATATATGTCCACCTGCCCTTTCAACTGGTAGTGGTCATTGCGTCTTTATTAAGTTAAAACTTAGTATGATCAATTTGTTTTTGTTTTTTTTGTTTTTGTTTTGTTTTTGTTTTTTTTTGTTTTTTAACGAGAAGGAAAACTCCGAAGAACAGCCCGCATCTCAAGGTGTTAATCGTGCCGAGGAGTGAACAGCTGCTGTGTTATGAGGTCGCGAACGATTCCCAAGAAGCTTCGGAACCCTGTCTGTCAAAGAACGTTACCCAATGTGCCGGATAGCAGAAACTAAAAAATTAAACATCAAAATAAAGAAAGGCAGTCTCACAGACATGAAGATTCACCTTGGAAAAGAAAAATAGAGAAAGAAATTGGACAACTTAGAAGTGAATTATCAGTACTCGATGAATAGGCAAGAGAAACAAATGTAAGAACTAGAAAAGGCAGAAAAGTCAAAAGGAAATACAAAATTAGGAATGAAAATGAAATCCTATCAGCTTAAGAAAAAAAAAATAAAGCAAAAAATACAAGTGAAGGTTCAAAGAATCAGACGCTATGTAAAAAATCAAGATCCAACAGACAGAACATGATCTTATAAACCGATTTTAAAGAAATTTTACAGAGAAATAGACAGACAAAAAATTGAAGTGACAACCCCCAATCAAAAACAATGGAAGAGGTTATACAGTTCTGGGGAAAATATTGGCTTACCCTAAACAATATAACAAAGAAGACGATTGAACTACGCAAAAGGTAAAACGGATGAAAACTAAACCAGAAGAAGTATGGGCGGGAATCACAGAAGAGGATTTTGAATGTGCCCTGAAAAAAGCACGTAGCTGGAAATCACCAGGAAGAGATAAAAATTTCTAACTTTTGGCTTTATTTAAATACAGCACACAAAAACTAACCAAAGAACTTCAAGAAATTGTCAATGATCCTACTAAAAATCCGATATGGGTAACTTTCCTTCTACCCAAGAATGGTGATACAAATGTCCCAAAAAACTACAGACCAATTACATGTCTTCCCACTACTTACAAACTATTGATATCTATTCTAACAACACAGATATATTCCTTCTTAGAAAAACATGGCATACTACCTTTTGAACAAAAAGGGTGTAAACGTGGCTCTTATGGATGTAATGACCAATTACTTATTAATAGGATGATCTTCGAAAACTGCTTCAATACAAAATAAATCTCAGTACTGCCCGGATAGATTAACATAAGACATTCGATAGTGTACTTCATTCCTGGATCTTAAAGTCTTTAAATATATACAAGATATCACCCGTCGTCATCAGGTTGATCAAAGTATGTCGATATGTGAAACAACACTTTAGCTCAATCATATAAATGGAGTCTATAAGTCTGGTGAAATAAACATCAACGGAGGATTATTTCAAGTTGACTCTTTGTTTCCCTTACTATTTTGTATATCCCTAATAGCATTAACCAGCGAAACTAACAGGATGGAATATGGCTATATCTAAAAAAAAAAAAGCCATCTATTTTACATGGATCCCATGTTGTGTGCTAGGAATGACAGTGAGCTGGAAGGTCTCCTGGAAACAGTAACATTTTTCAGTGATGTCATTAGAATGAAATTTGGTTTGGATAAATGTGCCAAAGCCACAATTTTACGAGGACCCCTACAATAAACCCCTTCTATTGGCTTAGACCCTGGGGTAACAATCAAAGATTTAGAGCAAGAAGAATCTTATAAGTACCTCGGTGCAAATGAGAGTGAAGGAATTCACCATAAAAAATGAAAGAAATAGTGCGAAAAGAGTACTATAGAAGGATGCTAATGATATTAAGAACTGAAATGAATTCTTAGAACTGAATTATGGCCATTAAAAGCCTTGCCATACCAGTGGTTCAATATGGTTTCAACATCTTGAACTGGACTCTAAATGATATCAAACCACTGGATTCTAAGACATGAAAGCTTCTTTCTAAGCATAACATGCATCACTCAACGTTTGATGCAGACCGTCTATACCTATTCTGTAAAGAAGGTGGAAGATGTCATATTCAGCTAGAATTGTCATACAAGACAACAACTATTGGCTTACTAACATACATGGAAGCAACAAAGGACTGATAATAAAATTAATCAAAATGAAAGAAGGTTGTAAATACAAACGATATTTACATTTAGTAGATTCTGTAGAAACCCAAAACAAAACCCAAGAACCAACTATTGCAGCAAAAATTATGAAAAAGAAAGCCAAGGTTAAAGCTCTTGAACATATGAAACAACGCTGGCAAAACAAACCCCTGCATAGCCAATATCCAAAACGTTCTAACAAAGCCGATGTTGATAAGGTTAACACTCATCAATGGTTACGAGCATTTGCATTAAAGGCTGAAATTGAAGGCTTTATTCTTGCATCACAAGACGAGAGTCTTTCCATTAGAAACTTTCAAGTAAATATCATACATAATAGTGTGGATCCAAAATGTAGGTTCTGTGCCAAATATCAAGAAACCATAGACCATTTAATCTCAAGATGTTCTGTACTTGCTCCAAATGAATATAAAAATTGTCATGACAGAGTGGGATAATACTTACACTGGACAATGTGCAAGCATAATGGCAAAGATGTGAATAAACACTGGTATGAACATCACCTAGAACAGGTTACAGAAATAGAAGACATCACAATTCTATGGGATTACAACATCTTTATATACAGGAAGATTGAAGTAAATAGGTCGGACATAATTGTCAAAAGCCGAAAAGAAACAAAATTGAGATGGCTTTCCCAGCGGACTGTAACATAGCAACTAAGGCATTTGAAAAACTATCAAAGTATAAAGACAAGGAAATCGAAAATAATGTGGAAATTGAAAACAAAATAGCACCAGTCAAAGTAGGTGCGCTTGGAATGATAAAAAAAAAAGGAACACAACGACACATTGAAAAACATCCCTGGAAATCTCAGCTTAAGAGAAACACAAAAAATGTCTTAGAAAAACAAATCATGAAATGTAAACATAACAACACAAAATTACCTGCCTTAGATCTTTCCGCAGACATGGTAGATAGTGTGACCGTAGCAGAAATCGAAATATAATAATAATAATAATAATAATAATAATAATAATAATTACACATTATGAAGAACTATATCTTATGTACAGAAATCAAAGTAAACAATAATAATAATAATAACTCTTTGGGTCAAATCACACTTCAGTAGATAAAAACCTTTGATTGAATCCAGTGACTTGACCGAAAGAGTTGTGAGTTCAATACCTGGCTACTGCAGTGGTGAACAAAAATTTGGAGAGTTGAGTTAAAGGGAGATAACTGAGATATCCGGGAGAGGCATGGCACGTGGAACTAGAACAATCTACCACAATGGACGAAGTAAAAGTTTCAGTTCGAAATTCCAATCACCTGAAGAAGGCCGGAGCGTACAAAGGCCGAAACGTCGTGAATATGGTAGTAAAGATGAGGACAACAGTCCGAACAGTGTAAATAATGTAAACCGTCTCGATATTTATTGAATGTCTTAACTTCGCTTACATTATTACTTACGTGACATTTTACTAAAATCATTTTTCTTAACAGATATTTTGTTATTTCTAACTCTCGGGGAGAGTTATCTCTTAGGGGCCAATGCCGTATCTTCAAAATCTGATGCCAGCTGCCAAGATATTGTTGGCTTTATTCGTGACAGCAGGGACTGTAAGAAATGGTACCAATGCCGAAGCGGAGAGAAGATCAACATGCCACCATGTGAATCTGGTACTGTATTCAGTATTCAAGCGATGCAATGTGTCCCGATTGTGCATCCTTGGAATGACTGCCCAGAATCATGTAAGTAGATATTATTGACAAAGTTACTCAGCAATGTTCGGGATAGGATAAAAATACATCGCAATATATTTTTTTCCTTTTGTAATCCACCGAGAAATGTAAAAGAATTGCAAAAAATTAATAGCTTGTCTATCGTTTAAATGAAACACTTAAATAAATCTGTCGGATTAATAAACAAAAAATCCATACCTTTACAAATTACGTTTTATTAAATGGAATTGATAAACACGCCTACAGTGCTAATAATGACAATGGAGAAAGAATGAAATTAAAGAAAATCTAAGAATAAGAGCTAATAATTTCAATAAAGTAACCTCGCTTAACAGATCAGCCTTATCTAATTATAGTGTATTTAATTACAATTAATAGTAGATTAGGTAGTAACAATAGCTCAACTATGGTAATATGATTCTTCAGCAAGGCTTCAGGAGTACATGAAAAATATTGTGATGAGATTGCATCAATATTTTAGCGAGTTTGACATTTTATTCAATTTATTCAAATCGTTGTTTTTTGAAGAGGAGTGGAGGTTTATCCCTTAAGGTAGTCAAGCCGAAGTAATTTTTCAGTGAATCTTGTTTTTCAATTTATTTTATGTTTAACCAGAACGAATGTCTCTTCTTTGAATGAAAAGGAAAAAATGATTTTTTTAAAAAAAGCTACTCAAAAAGGCTCTAAACTCTGATTATATAATTACATATATATAGCGATTTTCTAAGCGCTTCTTAGATGTGGCACAAGGGCGGAAGTATGGAACACCCAGATGAGGATCAAACTCGTAATATGTTCTAGCGAGACAATCTTGCTAACCATTACACCACGCTGAGGTGCCCAACTAATATACATATATATATATGTATTCATATATATATATATATGTGCGTGTATGTATATATATGCATATATATATGTATGAATATGTATATATGTATGAATATATGTATATGCATATATATACATATATTCATACATATATATACACACACACACACACACATATATATATATATATATATATATATATATATATATATATATTAGTTTTTCCAAGCATAGCTTAGATGGGGCATCCAGTGAGGATCGAACTCACTTTTTCAGTAGTAACTGACAGCAAAAACAAGCTTGCTAACCATTACACCAATGCCGAGGTGCCCAATGTGTATATATATATATATATATATATATATGTGTGTGTATATATATATATATATATATATATATATATATATATATATATATATATATATATATATATATATATATATATATATATATATATATATATATATATATATATATATATATATATATATATATATATATATATATATATATATATATATATATATATATATATATATATATATATATATATATATATATATATATCAATATGTGTGTGTGTGTGTGCGTATAAAAGTAGGATATAGAATCCAGACAAAATTTGAAGAATATGACAAATTGAAAACTGTTTCATTGAAACTAGATTACGCGTTTCGCTCTTGCTTGGCTTCATCAGATCAAAACGAAAGAAAGAAATATGTGTGTATGTGTGTATGTCTATGTGCATGCTTGAATATATTTCGAATATTAAATATATATATATGATTATATATGTGCACACACGCACACACACACACGTGTGTGTGTGTATTTATCATTTAAACGGTATATTTAGTGGATACTCATATTTGAGTAGACGTTCCGTTTATCTAGTAACCTGTATATCCACCCACCATCGTCCCCAGGCCTGAATATTCGAGTAATAATATTATTAAAAAACATATGCACCCACCGGCAAGTTGGCTGACATTAAAAACATACATATTGTTATCATTATGTCTATTTTGTGATTGTTTGCATGTCTTTTTTTCAGCCAGCCAGCTGACTTGCAAACTTTTCCACATATATGACATAAACTCTCAACATTTAATGCCAAAATATATGATAAAAAATATAGTTTTAAGGTATGCTATATTTATAGGTAAAAAAAGTGATCTTTATCAAGGATAGTGCGTGTGTAAAGATAAGAGTGGACACTGAGATCAACATCGAGTGACGACAGAAGCGGTCAAAGCAGTTTTCAGGCCTGAAGATTACATTGACTTCAGTGTTTACTCATGTATATATTACCGCCGTGAGCACCTCGAGGTGGTGTAATGGTCAGCAAGCTTGTCTCGCTCGATCAATTACGACTCAGTAGTGAGTTCGATTCTCACTGGGTGCTCCATATTTTCGGCCTTGTGCCACATCTAAGCTACGCTTGGAAAATAACTATATATTACCGCTTTTCTGTGACTCCTGTGGGCACCTATATATTTATGTAGCTGTCTCACAATCTTTAGGCTATACAAATAATGAGATACTCAATTTCATATATATATATATATATGTAAATGATAAAAAATTGTTTCTCGACTAAAATAAATCATCGTCAATAAAGTAATCAGTTCGCTATTGAATTGTCTATTCCCCAAATATACTTATTAACAAATAGTTACGTTTTATTTTATCGCTGAAGACTTAGTGACGCTCTGATCAAATAATCTTTATTATTTTATATTGTTATGTATATTATATCATATTCTTGATATTTGAAAATTATCTTGATCTTATAGAATATTTATTGAGGCAAACATTTACAATATGAAAGAAAGAACTTTAAAAATATTTTGCACTTACTGACTCTAGATTTTGTTCGTAAAATATCCCAAAATGTAAAATTTTTATACAGTTCTTTTCACTGGAGTGAAAGTGTTTATCCAGACCCAGAGAAAGCATTATATTTAAGGAAATATTACTGCACGAATTTTAATATTTGAAGTTCCACTTCATCAGTTTGTGTAGAAAATAATAAAACAACCAGACTCCATTTCAGGTAACGAGTTGGCTATTAAAAAATTCAGATTTACAAGTACATCCTTTCGATTGTGTTATTCTATTTGTAGAGAACGTTTGAACCAAACTCATTTTGCCTATTTGTCTTTTTATTTTCAATTAAAATGTTTTCAAATGCATCCTCATATTTCCTCAGAATGTGTCGCCTTCCGGTGTCAATAAATTAAGATGAAGCGAAATAAATTGAAGAAAATATTTGCAGTTATAGGTTTGGCCGTGTGGTTAGAACAGCGGGCGAAAGATAAACATTCTGTGGTTTCATTATGTGTGTGAAGTCTTTAAATTCAAGCTTAATCTTGACAGGCAAAATTTATGCTACACCTGAGCTCTGAATATATATTTTATCCCATAAAAACGATCATGAAAAATTATTATACTGTTTTATAATCAATCCGATATTAAGTTAACGAGTTTTCTAAAAGTAGCAATCTGTAAGGTCGCAGTCTAAACAAAAGTTACTTGCTGAAATAAAGCGATTAGGCTTATTTGACAATGACCGAATTGTTTTAAATATATAGGTTATTTCCTCAAACTGAACTGTACGTCATCGACATTTGATTAACAAAAACGCATTAGATAATCGAATTAAATATCTATAAGCATTTTTTTCCATTTAGCTTCAACTTGGGTTTTGTCTGAAGATATTGTATGTTATTGTTACAATATACAATTATCTTTTCTTTTTCATACACACTTTCAATTTATAAACGTCACTTCACGAATTTCGTATTAGATAGATCTGTGAAGGACCGTGTGTGTTTGTGCGTTGTTGTATTAGAAACACGTGTGTAACTCCTGATAGAATATTAAAAAAAGGTCCAACTGCAAGAAAATGGCCGGACTTGAATTAAATCCAACTGAAGATAAAGAAGACAAACAAGACCGATATAAACAAATATATGTATTAAACAAAACAATTTTACAATGGACATAGACAATAACATTTGTATGTGTGTGTGAATATTTGTGTTTGTTCTTTGGTGAGTGTTCGTACGTACGTGTATGTATGTATAATGTTCATGGCGTCTCCCACAAATGAGAAGACGCGTATCTTCTAAGAGAGCTTACATTGTAGTCGCTGAAATGAAGAAATGAAAAAAAGAACGAGATGAGAAGTCGCCCAGTATTTGTATTATAGGGAGAATGATACCTAGTGACAATTTGGGAATTAAGGAGGAGCTAACTCCGACAGATCTATCTATTCGCATTTCTCCCCGGTCTTTTGAACAGGAGTAGAGTTTTATCCCTTGTTTTCTGTTTCTGCTTCCGGCTCATTTTAAAGTCTACTTCAACGCTATACTTCTAAAATCTCCGTCTAAATCCCTGATACTTTATTTACTATTTATTTACTTTTTTCTCAGTAGGAGTAAATAAGTTCGCCTATCGTCCGGTTCACACTCCTTCCCAGTCTTTTGAACAGGAGTAGAGGTTTATCCCTTGTTTCCTGTTTAGGATTCAGTTTTCGGATCTTTCTAAAACCTTTTCATTCTCTTTCATTTCCGGTGGTCCCTCGGTGGCATTATCACTGTGCTTGCGATGGAACCTCGACCTCGAGTGACTTTTGGGTCGTGTACAGGGTGAAAATCACTGTAAAAAATCATTACGGTCGTTGGGGCACCATATGTACTGCAGTCATAACAGTAATGATATATCTAGGGCGTGATAGCTTGACGGAAAGGCTCCTTCTTTAGGCTCGCTTTGAATTTAGTTTTCCCTCTCCTAGGCAACCACTCTAGGAGAAGGAAAACTTTGAATTCAAAACCAGCCTGAATAGATAACCCATAGATGGAGTTAGGGAGAAGATATACAGTCATACTTTTCCCAAGCGTATTGGTGCAAAAGTGAACTTAAAAGACTCGGACGATTCATTTTTTTAAATTTTGAGTTAACATGAGGAATCAATATCTATCTATCCTTCTATCTATCTATCTATCTATCTATCTATATATATATATATATATATATATATATATATATATATATGCATTAACAAGGAAGGATATTATGTTGCAAAATAAATACCTGTCGTGCAAAATAATTCCTGTTTTCCCTATTCACCTTGAATCGACCAGATCGCCGGGTGCCGATTCGATTCTCTATTT